TAAAAGGGATCTCTACCATACCCGTAAACAAAATCTTAATATCAAACACCCAATAAAATATTACATTTCCAAATCAACAAATCCATAACATCTAAACATTCCAAGTTTATCAAAGTTTATTATGTCTTGCAAACCAAAGTTCAACGATAACATCGGCACAAATCACTACTAAGGAAAAGGCCATAAATAAATTGTGTGGATAACGTTAGAACGATACAAGTTTAAAATTCCGTCGCGATCAAAGCAAAAAGATAAGGCGGCGTGCACACGAGCAGACGCGAACCCGGACGCCGCTTCCGTTCCCTCTACCGAACATTATTCATAGTCTGAGCGCTCAAACTTCCGGCCATATATGACGAAAGTTCAGAAGAATGAATGTTGACTTTACTATGACTATATCTATAGTGTACGATATCCGTCAATAGCAAAATAAAACTTTTATAAGCCTGTTAGAATAGTTTGATATTTTATTTTTGACAAACGGAAATCTCTGCTCTATTTTTGGGTAGTGGAAGCGTGTTGTAGATATTAGAAGCGATCAGTGTGTTAGAATAAATTAAATAAAAAGTTGTGTGTTGTTTCTGTAATTCAAACAAATTATTAGTCGAATACTTCAACTATTATTACAGCAGGCACAGACGGCAAAAAACAATACTGTTCACATATCAAATGAATCCCTGTTTCCCTTGGTTACGACATCACACGTGTCTTGGTTTTTAATGCCAATAGAAGGTTCTTGTGACACATAAAATTATGTTATAAAAAAATAAAAAAAATGGGATCTCAATTATGGGCATAAATACATAGTCAGAAATATTACTTTTCAAGTTTGTTTTTTTATTTCGCGTGGACGAAATCCCTAGAAAAGGCAACATTTTTCTTGTGATTTCCTTCTCATGTTCTTTGTCCTCGACAGTTTGTAGTGACAGGAACAAACAAATAAATCGAATCAATGTTCAATTTATTTCTATATGTCACAAGAATTAATTATGAACCGCATGAATCTAATGAATAGGCGGAGGAAACCTTTGTTGTTGTGCAAAAAAAGACAAAATAATACCGGCTTTTGTCTCTTTTAGAGGGCGTTCTAAGTTCCCGGAATTTCTAATAAAAAACTCGCAAATTGAATTTTCCACTTTCCCAACTCGGATGATTTAAAAAGACAAATAAAAAAAGAAATACATTTTGTATTCTTGATGTATGAATGGAGAGTAGTAAAATGATTGATCTTCTTAAATATTACGTAACCAGAGCATTATCCAAGATGAAATTTATGTTCAAATATAATTTAATTCATTTCTTTGAAACCTCAAAGGTACGCTGAAGAAGCTTGTAATATTTTTATGGCAGTTATTACTTACTTTACTTACGTTTATTTATCTACGTGAAACAAATTAAGCCTGAACACATGGTATCGTTACTGACAATGATTTATGAATTAACAAAATTTGTTTAAAAATATAATAGAAGCTTGCTTTAAGAACGGAATACATTTAAGAAATGTTTATTTATATTTGAATTTGACAATTTTTTTTAGGTTATTTAATTAAATCAATGATTTTAGGAAAGTTTTAGGATAATTTGATGGACGGTTATTGAAAAAACTTAGTCTTACTCATATTATAATATTCAGCATGGTTCTAAGAACATTTGAATACTAGCGGTCGCCCGCGACTTCGTCCGCGCGGATTATAATAATAAAATTAATAAGTAGCCCATGTGTTCTTCCAGGCTATCTTCTGCATGTATGCCAAATTTCATCGAGATATTTCTAGCCGCTCTGGAGATACCTTTAAACAAACATCCATGTAAACATTCGGATTATAATAGTAGTAAGATTGCTTATATTAAGAAAAATAGGGGTCAAGTGTTGTTAAACATCCATCCATTCGTCTATCCTTCCATCTGTCTAAACTCTCTCATTTATAATATTAGTAAGGTCTAACAATATATGGTATCTAAATGAATATTGAGTAATACGAACGTGGTCATATTTCAAGAAGCGAAATATCGTAACGAAGTGTAACGCGAGACATTCCGATGAGGCGGCGGTGCGGCGGAGGCGAAGCGCGCGACGCCTTCATTTATCTGCCGAAGACGAAACCGTGTTTCCTCAAATGTGCTATTCATATTAATATACTTCCGTGTTATATATTACTAATATTATAAATGCGAATGTTTGGATGGTTGGAAGGTTAGAAAGTATCTACGGAATAGCTGTATGGACCTCGCTGAAATTTGACACAAATGTAGTACATCATCTGAAGAACATATGCCTAATTAAGATATTTTTTAATTCCGTGCGGAGGGAATCGCGGGATATTCCTAGTCATTAATAAAGGCAATAAAAGGCTTCGAGTTTAAAGTGCGTGCAACATCCGAAAGGAAGGCTAGCGTCACGTCGTGTTCATTATCATTTGTATTCAGAGCTGACGGGGCGCGAGAGGGGGTGCACCTGGAGGGCTGTCAGCCAACATGATTTATGTCTGTGCAAAAGTGAACAAAACTCCGCCGCTTTGTATGGAAATGTTCATCCTTTTCTCTTGACGGCCTTTTGTTGCTACTTAAAATTTGAATATTTCCTCTTCATGATACAAATCTAATATCCTGGATTTTAATTAACAAATAAGATGCTTTGTAATAGAAATGCTCTCGGACAAGCTCTGGGTTTTGTTTACCAAATCGATCCATCCATCAGTTTAGTTGTCACTCTAAATATGTACACCTGTCTCAAAACATATCCATCTTTTCTTAGGCTCTACCAATATGGATGTCACATACATAAATGTTGTAAACTCTGCCAATAGGCTGCTAAAAATAATAACCTAAATATTGTTTGTATAATCCTGACGGAGAATGTTAATCGATCGGAAGTAATCTTCTATGACCTACTGTTGGATTAGGTCGTACTTTACCGTGCCACCTGTGCCTTAGTTGGAAGCAAATGCCAGTCAAAGCAACGTATTGACTTACGCTGTCTCTTATTATTTACTTATATTGTCATCCAATTAGAACAATACGCTGTTAAGAATGCGGTTACTTTTCCTGTCCATACATGTATTTACTATTTCGCTTTTATATGATTTCCGTTTCAACGAAATGAAAGTACATGACTCTCATTTGTTTAAGCTTCATAAAATAAAGTCTCAAATCCAAAAAAAATAATGTCCCAACACAAACATGTACGTTGTCATTTCAGTCGTCTTATTATCTAAACAAAAAACCGTGAAATGAATTAGTTACCGTTGCCTTAAAACCTGCACCCGAGATTTACCCTTAGCTAAATATAGAGGAAAATAAGATGCGAGGTGAAAGCGAAAAGACAGAGCGGCGACCTAATTTCATTTCATTTGACGCTTTACGTTGAGATTCGCTTCAGAATTGTTGTTTACGTTTCAAACGCATATAGAAGCGCCTATTGTTTATGTGTTTATGAAAATTCAACATTTTATTATTATTTCAAATAGTAATTTTGCTCCAAAATATAAGCAGTTGAGGAAATGTAATTTGAAGATTACAACGCGATAAGGGCGTAAAGGCTTTTGCAGAATATCAGTGTTTTTGCCCCCCGCTGTAATAAACATACAGCTGAGCGAAGGCCCTATCTGTTCTGCATTGCAACGCTTCATTGTAATTTGTTTGATTTTTTCTTTTTTCGCTTTTTAATTGTTTTATAAGTGTTGTAATATTTTTCAACTCGAAACTAGTCGTTGCCGCCACCGGACGAATATACGAGAGGGTTTAGCCGTTTCCATATCAGTTTATTTATTTATTTATTTATTAACTCTTAATGCTAACATAATACATAACAAAAAAGACAATTAACTAATTTACAAAGCAAGGGCGGCCTTATCGCTACAAGCGATCTCTTCCAGGCAACCCAGTGGGACAGGAAAGAATAACATAGAAAGAGGGATATATAACATATAAATATCAGGATATGTCAAGAATAAATAAATAAGAGCAAGAATTATTAAAAATATATATATACTAGTTACATATAGATATACTAAACTAACTTTATTATAAAATATCAGTTGATTCAATTATAATATGACAAGCGCAAGATTACTACAAATGAAATTATAATTTGTACGATAAGTTTTTACATAAGTAGATAAAAATGGTAAATAAAAAGATTTCGTAATTATCTCATCATTTTGATATTGATTAGATATTCGCTAAATTACGTGATTTCCTGCATATGGTAATAAATTAAAGAGTGAAGGAATTAATAAATGAACGTACGGAAGAACGAATGACCAAATGAATGAATGAATCAACAACTATTTGACAGAAATGATGATGAAATAATATGTACCGTTGTATCTTCACTTTGCCGAGTTCATTGAACTGACAAACTCTTTGAGCATTTCAGTTCGTCTATGTGAAAGTGATAAATAAGCTTATATGAATTATACGCCTCCCTCACCCTTTTGGGGGAAATCGAGATAATGAATATAAGATGAGAAAAACATTCACCTGCTCCGATACGAAAGTCAATGTTTACTCAAGCAGTAAATATTGCCAAATTAATGTAAGATTATTTAATCTTAAAGCTTTTCAATTTCTATGATGACTTTTTGAATGTAATAGTATTTTTTTTTCTGTTCTAATTTTTTGGCATTTCTGTCTCACTCATCATGAGTCTGTTTCTATCCAATATTGGACAAAGTCCTTCCCCAACGTCTTCCAAATTGTACCAGAGCACATTATATTATATTATATTATATTATATTATATTATATTATATTATATTATATTATATTATATTATATTATATTATATTATATTATATTATATTATATTATATTATATTATATTATATTATATTATATTTACAACAGTTCAAACATATTATCAAAATTTGGCACATAAGAACATATTCTCGAGTAACACATGAGTTACTTTTCACCAAATTTTTAAGATCCTACGCTACGAGGTTCGGAACAGAAAGTGTAAATAATAAAAATGCAATGTTTTTAATATAACGAATTATATTTAAATATCAGTAAATGTTATTTCATTGTGAATACTTCGGAACGTATTTTTTATAAAGTCGTTCCCAGAATTCCAATTCATCTTTGTCCGGTGAGGTACCCGCCACCAAATTTTCTCCGATGTCCAAAAAGTCTTGTCCTTCCAATGAGTATGGCTTCCATATGACACCAAGACTCTCATCTGGAGTTGGGTTACTGTGAAATGAAATTATAAATGAACGTTATTAATTATAAATTTATTCCCTACCCAGAGTTCTATTCCTGCCGTGCTCAATGCGTTCTTCAATTTCCTAATTTTAGGAAGACAAAAAAGGAAGGCCTGAAGGAAAACATCAACATGCACATACATCTGTGAAGACATTTAATGATGTATATGAAATCAACACTTATTTTTAGTCACTCTAAATAAGTTAGAATCACTTACCCGTATTTTGCAAAATTTGTCCAAAGCTTTGTTACTTGGTCAATCATCTTCATAACTCTGGCATTCATTTCGATTTTCGGGTTAATTTCTGTTAACGATTTTATAGAAAACATATAAGGAAGTTCATCTGCATGACTCACTAAAGTCTTATCTGGCAATACAAAATCTTCGACTCCCAATATATGTCTGAAAACATTTAATTCAGACTTGCAGGTAAATGCATATAGATAAACTTTGTTTTTCCTATTTTTTGCACAAATTTTTTGGAATAATATCGTTGGATATTTGAAGGCTTCGGTACCCAAATATTTTTGCAACTCGTACAAATTATCCAAAGAAACATCCTCGTCCTTAAAATAGTATTGTTTTATCAATTTTCCTATTTCTATTTGATCGATTAAAGAACAATGTATAGACATTGTCTTCGGTACCAAAAATTCGGCATACTTATTGGCCTGGGTAATCATTTTATGTACATCCGTGCCGGCCGATAAGAATAAAACTCCCTCATCTTCGTTGTAGCCTTCCATAACATCCACTCCCTCGTGTATACCGTAATTACGTAATACTTCAATAGGTTCTGCGACCATGAATCGTTCGTTATTTCCGAATTGCTTTTCTACAACGATACTAAATGGCACAGTAATAATTTCTTTATTTGTTTCCGCGTACGTCACTGTAACATGTTTTTTAACTAATGCTTCAACTGGTTGTGCCTTAAAAAACTCGTATATTTCCTTTTCGTCTTTTGCGTTACATCCTAATTCTTTAGCTAATAACAACGATCTTTCTTTGACCATAAAGCCAGTTGCCCAATGTGCGATAGCGAGCCCGCTTTGTGGTATAGCTCTCTTAAATAACCCTTTACTCATGGGCGACAAAAGGTGAAGAGAAACGCTGCCTCCTCCGGCACTTTCTCCGAAAATCGTAACGTTGTTAGGATCACCCCCAAAGTTGCTGATATTCTTCTGGACCCATCTAAGCGCAGCAACTTGGTCCTTCATGCCCGCATTGCCAGGAACGTCTTCGGTGTCTAAGCAAAGGAAGCCAAGAATCTCAAGTCTATAGTGAAACGTGACAAGAATAACATCGTGTCTTACTAAATAATTTGGTCCGTATAGTTCATCGGAACCAGTTCCACCAGTGAAACCTCCGCCATGGATCCAAACCATGACAGGCAGTGGTTTGGTAGGTTTCAGGTTCGGTGAGAAAACATTTATATACAGACAATCCTCGCTTCCTTGATTAACTTTTTGTGCAAAAATGTTAAATTGGTAGCATTCGTTTCCTAGTTTCTTTGCATCCCGCACTCCATTCCAAGGTTTTACTGGCTGAGGTGCCTGTAAAAGTTATAATAAAATAATGGAAGTTTCAAGGCCCACAAATTTCTTTAATTTTGCTGTCAGAAAAAAAATAAACGGTTTAGTATTTTTAATTACAACAGTAAGCAAACAATTAAACCTGTTCTCTTAACTTATAAGTATATTTTTACCTTGAATCTCAGGTCTCCTAGTGGTGGTTGAGCATAAGGAATGCCTTTAAAACTGTAGATCTGTCCTCCATATTCATTGTTGATCACATCTCCTTCTAATACACCATCACTGATTCGCACCTGCACCATCTTAGTTTACTACCTAACTTAAAGCCAACGACTGAATACGCAAAGCAATTACATCTAAATATAAAGCATATTTGTGCTGACTCATACTTATTTTGCGTTTTTCGGAATAAGATTACTCTTTAGTACGCGTCACAGATATTTTTTCCAAGATATTATACTAACAATCGATTGCAGATTATTCCGACCCCTATTCAATTATTATTATTATTATCGTTTGAATATCATTTTTCATAATCGCAAAACATATAATTGTGGATAAGAAAAACAGAATTTTAAATTATGTGATAACGGCTTAGGATTTACGAACATACGTACACACAAAATATTAGTACAATAATGACTTAAAAGTGAAATGATTTCATTAACTGCAACTTACTGCTTCGTCATGGCATTTAAATTGAAGATTGCTAAGCACTTTTCTACAGGAGTATTGTTCGATTTAAAATGCAAAGAAAAACACAATTCATTTTTTAATTTGTTTCACTTTTACATGACCTATCTCGAATCTTTTACCTTAAAGCATAAGTTGTGCTTATGCGTAATGCCCGCGACTTCGTCATCTCAGAAATAAAGTAGCTTATAACATGCCCACATACATTAGCTAACTTCTCGTCCAAGTCCCGTCAAAATTGTTCCAGCCGTTCCGGAGATTGTGCGGAATAAACGCGGCCTTGCTGACAAACATACAGACAAAAATAATACGATTTTTTTTTCGTTTTCAGCAACGCAAACTTATCCTGTGCACGAAATATATATTTTTTCGATACATACAGACACACCAAATTTATTTATATTATGTTGTATAGATTAAATTATTGTTATTATCGTTCAAACATCGTTTTACGTGATAGCAAAACATATCATTGTCGATAAGAAAAACAGGATTTTAAAGTTATGTCATAATGATTTAGGATTTACGAACATAATACGTACAGACAACATTTTATTTAGTACAATAATTACTTAAAAGTAAAATAATCTTATTTATTGCAACTTGCTACCCCGACATGGTAATTAAATTAGAGTTTGCTAGGCACTCTCCTACAGGAGCCTTGATCGATTTATAATGCAAATAAAAAACAATTTTTTAATTCGTATCACTGGCCTATGTCGAATCATTACCTTAAACCTTTAGTTGTGCTTACGAAAAAGTATGTATTAGAATCTAACGAGGTTCACAATCATTGCATTTAACTAATAAAACTGTTAATACAACAGTTTTTACAATAGTAAATGCCTTTTTTATTTGGAAGCTCTAACAAGATCTAAAAAAGTCGAACTATTTTTTTTTTTGGTTCTTTATTCATGTACAAAATGCGAAGACTTTGATTGGCGTTGCTTTTGAAAATACAAAATGTATAAAGGTGCACGTCCACGTAACGCCTTTTCATGGATTCGAATCCAGTAATTGGTCCCATTGAGACTGGGGGCCAGACGTGACCGGCTTGAAATGCACGTAAAAATTTTATCTACGCTAAGGGACTCGTCGATTCATATACGTACCCGTAAGTGTAACTATCCCTTTCATTTTTTTTAAGGAAAAAATAATCTGTTAAAAATATGTATATAAAACATATATTAAGTAACTGTCGTCTGCAACTCTTTCCGTATGGGATTGTAAAATAAGTAGTAACCGAATATCAGACCTATTGAATATGTATATAAAAATTTCATAAAAATCTGTCAAGCCGTTTCTGAGGAGTATGGAAACTGACATGGACACAGTAATTTTATATATATGAATAACAATCGCCTGCGACACAGTCCGCACGATACTAAAACAAAACTTAATTAGTAGCCTATGTGTTCTTCCAGAATATGTTCTACATCAATGCCGAATTTCAGCGAGATCTGTTCAGTCGTTCTGGATACATTTTCAATCAAACACCCATCCATAGATTCGCATTTATAATATTAGTAAGATAAATGAAAATCGGAGTTTGTCAAATATGTGTTCTGTTAATTTAAACAAGTTAAAAAATACAATCATTACAATCCATTTGCTTTACATCCAGTTCTGTTATTCTACATTTGTCTTGATGTGTTTGAAATCTGGAAAATCTTTTAAATAGATATACATTATAATTTTAAAATGCTCAGTGTTTGTATCTCTAAGTTCAATGCTACTTTGTTTTTCCAGCGATGTTAAGAGCATTCCTTTACAGATAAATAGTAAAAGCTAGTGCTCTTTAGATGCATGCATTTTTTGCTTTTAAATTCTGTTTCAAATTTCTTTATCCGGCATTTCACTTGAAAAGAAATTTCTGATTTTATTTTCCATTCAGCAAAAAATGTTCTGAATATTCTAGTGAATCAAAATACGCAGTGCAAAAAAGAAAAAAAAATAGTTTGATAAACATAAAGAATAGATAAAAATAGTATAAATTAAAACCCAATAACCAACTGACAAGACTATACAGCTCTAAGAAATAAATATGATTTAAAAGTACACCACTGATGACGCGTTGATGAATTAAGGTATGAAGATATATTTAATAAGTAGCTGTCGCCCGCGACTCCGTCTGCGCGGATTGAATAAAAAACTTACTAAGTAGCCTATGTGTTCTTGCAGATATTCTACATCTATGCCAAATTTAATCGAGATCCGTTTAGTCGTTCCGGAGATATCTGCAAACAAATCCATCCATCAAAACATACGTGTTTATAATATTATTAGGATTGTGGAACGATCAAAAATTTGGTGTTCCTAGAAATCGTTTCAACTCAACTTTCATCACCTCATTGCATTGTGTACGAAGAGTCTTGGACGCATAAAATATTTTGTTAATAAGATAATTTTAATACCTTACGTTCCATCGACAATTACTAAGGTCGTTTAGATGAGGGGCTTATAAATTGTACAGTCTGCAAAAACAGTTCACTAATTTTTCTCGCATATTTCGTGTAATTGTCACGACGTACGGTTTAAGTGAGCCCTCGTGATAATCGCGGGCGTAATTTCAACAAACACACTGCTGCATACTGCTTTAATCTTACTTCGGGGACCTATCTTGAAGTTGTACGAAATGTTTTTATTTTTTTATTATTTTTAGAAGTGTATGTTGTATAATAAAAAAACTTAAAAACCTTTCCTTTTATTAAATAATTTTAAATATTTTTTTTTAAATTATATTTCGATCCCTAAACCAAAATAACTTAAAGAACCTTACTTTGGGTACACCGACCTATAGTGAACGCAACATTTTTAGTGCCTATAATTCTCTTGGGCTTTTGTAGTGAGAGTATATACTCTATGAATATTCATATGTAAATACATTTTTATTTCATTTAATATGTGTATAAGATATTGCTTAATACTTTATAGCTAAAAGATGCTGGCCTAAAAATAATATTACACGTTGGTGCACTATTAATAATAGTACTTTATTCGTCTAAAAAGATCTTTAAAAATATTTGCTGCCTAATTCTCATTGTTTGTAAGCATAAACTTAATGTTATATAATAAACACAAATAAATTATCACCACACCAATTTTCAGAATAGGTACTCAGTGCAATGTCCCCTAAGGCACTTGTCGGCAATATTTCTCCTCATCAAAGGATAGCATGCAGCACATGGCACGCCGACCGTAACATTCTTTTATGAGCGAGCATAATATACCTCGTTAGTGGACCTCGACTAACTGTTTCCTTTAATTTTTTCAAATATTTTACCGGTATTTTATTCAGTTTAGTTCCTGTTTGATGTAATTACAGACTTCAATATATCGCGAAAATAAAAACTGAACTCCACCTAACATTTATTTTTAGCTATGGACCTTCAAAACTTAAAACAATAGGTGGACCGATAGATGTGTCCCGGAGTGTATTGTCATGTCTTGAGTCATTAAAATCGTTAATGATGTCTAAATATTTAATGTATGTCTCATTAGTTTAATCAAATTTAATGTATGTACATACGTCAACGACTACATGCAGACAATCTTCGACAAAAGATTAAATTTATTCCGACTTGACAATAAAAAAGTTTTTTAATATTCCCCGTTCTTCGTCGTAATCTGTGGGTCGAGATTTTTTTCCTCCGAGACGAAAGGCTGTTGCGGACCTAATTTCTTATAAAGGGGACGAAATTTTCCCGCAACTCGGGCCTTAGTACTTTGTAAGTATAAGATTGAAATGCTTAATCTCCTTTGTTGGTCTCAAGATTCGCGTTTGAGACTTAATTTGTAAAACGAGCGGTTACGTAATAGCTGTTCTGTTGATTTGTCTGTTAAAACCGCTCTAATATATGTTCTGCTATACTCAGAGATTATAAATGATTACTTTAATAGTCCCTAAGCGTAGTTTTCTCTTACTCAACGCACAAACTTCAGTGTGGAAATAAATTGCAATACATGTAATTTGAAAATAAGTAGATATTAAAAATGCAAAATCTCCCAAATTCACGATACTTCAAAACTCCTAACCATATTTACGTTGAAAAAAAAAATGTTTTAATTTTTTACTTTTATAAGCGTTTCAATGTAAATAATTAATAATTCTTTTATTCCATTTAATAAAAAACTTATTTTGCTTATTATTGTACCACCGTATGGGTGTTATATAATCTATGTTTCTACGACATTTATCGCTATTCTGAATGAAAGATTCACTAATGTCTGAAAGCTTTTAAAAGTTTTCGTTGAAAAATAGCGTTGCGGTCTCGCGACGACGGCGTGACACCGGTGGCGGGCAATTTACGATTTAGATCCAGAGCATGTAAAAAATTATACAATAAGATATTTTACTAGCACTAAAAGTATTATTATTATTTAAAAAAAATCTGATTGACCTTAATGCACACCTCAACATGTGGGTTTCTGAAACCAAAATATCCGTTCAAAACATATTGTTATCTTTGTTTTGTTAACGATAATGACAGGGATGACGATATGTTTTATAAAAAGAACTTGGTCTCAGAAACCCACGGTTACACACACAAGGGAAGAATACGAATCGAATGACACCTCATTCGGTTAAATCGTTTATGCTACTACAGGTCGCAATAAATTTGTCATACATACGAAACGATATATGCGCGAAATATTATCCT